ATGACAGGCTGATATTTTCTAAGTTCTCTGAATATCTGCCCACTGGTGATGGAGGAAAAATAAATATTTCCAATTAAATAAAAATGTTCTTACCTCTAAGGGCATAAATATTGCATGTTTTCAGTAACATCGTATTAATCAAAAGACAAGGAAATATTTTAGCGAACTTATGGTACTTAAGCTACATAAAACAAATTACTTCTTGGTTTTGCCAGTATTGTCTCCTGCACAGTGGAGCACTGTAGTAGGGTTGATGTTTTACTTGACTTCGTGTATTCTAAATATAAATAAGACTTATCTTTGTTAAAACCTGATTTTGAAAACACAAAACAAGATGAGGTCAGGTGGATGATGGTTTGTTTTAAGACCTATGCATGGAGTCAGATAATTTTATATTATATTCCTAATTTCATAATAAAATTTATATTGGCAAAGACCAGTGAAGTGTTGTTATTTTATTTGTTTTACTTAATGTATTTTTCTCATTTGTTTAAATAAAAATTACTTATTTGGGTGAGTCTGCTGCAATTTACACCTGGATATTATTCAAAATGTTCAGTTATATCTGTATGAGGCCAGAGAAGGCAAGATATTTACAAAGTCAGGATGCTTTTACAAATTTCAGCTCTGTTAGAAATTGTTAACATGTTTGTAATTGACACTCCAGCTGCTTCTAAAGCTTCTTGTATTTCAGTTTGAAATTTAAGATTTTGGAGGGGTCTTTTACCCCCAGGCAGCACATCCAGATGTGGTCTTCTGCATGTTTTGTGACCGCAGTGCACTTTTTTCTTTTGTTGTTTCTACTTGCTTTTCATGAATGCTTTCCATAAAGTGCATGACTCAAGTTGCATTTTAAACAATGGGATCAAAAAGTTTAAGTGTTTAGGAAAGTAAATTCAGTTCCATGGGCTCTCATGATTTTTAGATCTTGTTTTCACTAGTAAATTACACTGTTTGGAGTAGTTCTAAAATAGTCAGTCAAATGCTTGTAACTGCCTACTCTCACAGAGTCATTGACAGTTTGTCTTGAATCACTCAAATTACTTTAAGTCCAGGCAGTACAAGTCTTAGGACTGAATTTTAACCACGATTGCAAGTTTTGTTAATCAGCTGTCTCTAGAATTTATGGTTCCTAGATGATGAGACGCTGTTTCAGTTTGAGACATACAAAACTGAGTTACATCGAGAATGGTTTCGATTTGTTCTCCAGATGTAAATCAAGTGATGTGAGAGAGATTCTGTTTGAAAAATAAAAACACCTAAGAATATGGATGACATCTGAATAGCACCTTTTTTAGTCTAAAATATGTGGGGTTTCAATACAAGATTTTGTTGTGGATGGAAGAAGGAACAGGTTTACAGCTTTTACGGAACCTCGGTGTGTGTTGATGGGTTTAAGTGTCTATCTCTGTGGAAGAGGGTATCTTTGCTGACGTTTGTCTCTTGTTGCACTCGTAAAGGCTAGGCGGTATGGTTTCAATGCTAAAAAGAAGGCAGCTAACTTTGAAGTAGATTCTTGTGTTTTGGTTACTTTGCTGCCAGTGTAGTGGGTTAAACTCAGATGACTCAGCTGGACCAAACACAAAACTGCATTAAAGCAGAAGAAGCAGTCTCAGTCTTAACATGAGTGTGGAGAAACTATGAAATGAAGGAAGGTAGGGCTCCTTCAGTACCAATCACTTATTTAGATTGACTTACTCCTTCACAAGAAATGGTACCTTTAACTGAAATAATGGCACTGAGTACGGTACAACTTTGATATTCAAAGCAGTGTATTTCAGCAATGGAATGCAGCAAATTTTGCATTAATTGGGTTGATACCACACTTGAGGAGATTTTTTAGTGGTTACTTTGTTAGTCAACTGAGCAGAGACTCTTATTTTGCAGATTGTTAAGAGCATGTTTAAAAAGAGCCCCAAAGGATGATAGGATTTAATTTCCTACAAAACACAAACTTTTACCAGTTATCTTTGAACCAAATTCTTGTAGTTTTGTAATTCTGAGGAAGATTACAGCTCTGAATTCATGTACAGAATTCATGTTTATGTTAAAAATAGGTACAGAGAAGCTACTGAAGGAGTTAAATAGTAATATTAAGAAAATAATTAATTTTGCCTTTAAGTTACTACTTATTATTATTTAAAAAATACAAAAACTGTTAGCAAAGTTACATGGTGTGTGACAAATAAATGGAGTACTAGGGTTAAAATTACTAATGCTGAGGGACTGTTAGAAACAAAAGTTAGAATTTACCAACATCAACAATTAAAACCATTTGACTGAACAAATACTGTGTTTCAGGCCTTTGTTAGTCTCAAGTCAGGAAATGTAGGGGAGGTCAAGCAGTTGAGAAAACAAGTGTTACCAGCAATCTAGAAGGATTTGGTGCTTCTGACCTGCATGGGTATAAATAAAATGACTAAAATTGATTTACCTGTCCTGTGAGATGCTTATTAATGTATAATCTGTTGAACTCCCCTTCGTTTTACCTGGTTTTGTATTTTCTAGCCTCTGGCTGGGGAAGAGGGGTTGGTTTGCACAGCTGACAGAAGCTTCTGGAAGTTGCTGAGGCCCCTCTGAAGCAACTGCACTGGCTCCATGGTGGGCTGCAGGCATTGGAAGGAGTCAGGGTGCCAGGCAGAGGAGGGGGTGAGGAGCGCTTGCCTTTTGGTGCATCCCCACAGGCTTCTCTTTGTTTATTTGGCACTAGTGACAATCACGCTTCCTGCTGCTTTTCGTTGTGGTAGTTCCAGAAAAGCAGCGTTCACCTGATATCCTCATGTTCATGTGTCGGAAAGCATGATCAAACCAAGAAATGAAAGCCTAGTTTTGACTTTATTTTCAAAGAGTCTGCCTTCACCCATAGCAATATGAGAAAATTAAGATGTTTGAAAGAATAGCATGGTTAGGCCTTACAGCGATCACTTCGTTGTCATTGCTTAGCAAAATCGAACATGGCCAGTCCAAGGTCTGTGAGTATCCTTACATACATGCTTTTTCTTCTCATAATCCACAGATTTATTCCTGAGCTACCCCCTCAGCAACATTTAGCTCCTTATTCCTTTATCTTAGTGTCCAGAGGGATCCTTACTTTACTTAAAAGAAATAAAATACTTGGTTAGAAAAGATATACTGTTTCTGATACCTGTATAAACCGTTTATCGTTGCTTTAATGTGGAGTCTGAGCATCCCCTATGGGAGTGAAAATGCATAGGCAGGCTACTTCAGGAAAACAATTTCAATACAGTTCCGTGAAGTAATTCTACTCTTCTGCAGTTGTACTGTTCTGGAGTTTATGTGGGTATCCTTAGTCTTAGGAAATGTTTTTTACAAGATCAGTTTCTTCTTCCGTAGGATTTTTCAGCTTTCGGGGTGGCAATTTGGCAAATGTTAGATGGTATTTCCCAACACTGAGTCTAAACTTCGCTTTGTAGGATAAATGCAAATACATCTTCATATCCAAAATGGATAAACAGATAAATGATCTCTTGAGTACAAGTTCTATTTAATAAACAAGCTAGATCTGGTAAAGAGCTGTGCTATTCTTTGTTTCAGCATGGCAGGTGCTGGTATACCGATAAGATTTTGTGACAAACATTTTACAACAAGAGGAATCGTGCACGTGTCTGTGTAGTTTTTGTTGAAGGTAATCTGGTTTTCATCTTTAATAAATAATAACTTTGTAAGATGCATGTAAATAACCGAGATCAGAAATGTCAAAGTTATGTTCAGAATATGTAATTATTTTGGAGTTAACTGATCCAAGTATTAAAAGGGGTATTAAAAATCTATGTTTCTGGGCTTTGTCAAAAATCCCAATTAAGTTCTCACAGTAAAGATTGCATTAACTTGTACTCTAGACTCAAAAACCTCTTAGTTTATAATTTCCCTCGTGAAACTACAGATACTTTGATTCCTGTGTGTGAATTTCTTGGATTGTCCCTTTCAAGATTAAGTTTCTCATATTTTTTTCTACTTTATTTTCTTGATAGTCATTAGTATATAAGTGTCAAAAAATTTTCAGATTTTTGAAATCCACGTTGTTGCTGTATATAAGTAATATTTCACAATGAAAACCTATTTATTGACAGATAAAAAGCTAGAAACATACTTATGATTAGTTAGACTGTTTTAAGAACTTATTTTCGTATGATGCACTAGAAAAGCAACAGTTTCAGGTTGCTTTTCTGAAAAAGGCAATTAAACTTTTGGGCTATACTGCCATACTTTGTAATTCTGTGTGCTTCTGAGAAGTCCCTAAACTTGGATAGATTCTTGCAAGACACAGAGGTCTACACCCACTGAATTAATTACAAGAAATCTTGGGTCTCGGAACATATAATGTTGATAGTGGCACTTGACAAACTGCATAGAAGTCATTCGTATCAGCAGAATGGAAAGTAAGTTCTTTATATCTCATTTGTTTCATGTGAATATAGCTGGAAAAATCTGCTTTACTTGTGTATGTTTTGAGTTAGCTGTTTTAGGATTTCTTTTGTTAGCTTTTGATAATTAGGGAAAAAAAAAAAAACCCTCAACCATGATCTGTACTTTCTCTTGCTGACAGTTTTTTACTGCAGTGCCAAAAACTTGTCTTGCCACAGGCTTTTCTGGTGGTGCTGACCAGGAGGTATGCTGTCAGTCATGGAAGTTTGATTAATCTTGTATTAAATGCAAATTTTTAAGCAGTCCTTTTTTCATTTAGAGCCACTTTGTATGTAAAGAATTTAAGGTTGCTGTTTTCTTTCTTTTGTTATAGTGCAAAAAGTAAACCATGCATATTTATAGTTCTCCAAATCTCCTGTCTCCTAGTGTTTCCAGATGGCTTACATGTGTATGTGCTTTTGACTCAAATTTTAGAAACATTCCATAAATAGCACTCAAGATTAATTTCTTCAGAAGTATAGTATTTAGCCAAGTAGCATATCCATTGTTGAAGCTCAGGGTATTTGGATGCTTTCTCACATGTTTTGTGTAGCATAGGAAACGGGGAAGACGATATGGTTACATGCGTGAGTTTTTGCTTAGCTGGATTATCTTAAAAAATAAATCAATAATTACTAAAACCTTTAGATTGTCAAGTGCAAAGGAACTTGTGTTAAAGAAGACAGGCTGTATTTACGTGCCAGACACTTGGTATTGAAAGTAATCCTGGCAGAGTCAAGCATCTTGAGATTGCAGCTGCCCCCTCTCCTGCTTCCTGCTACAAGTACCAACAGTTCGGGCAGCCCCATGAGCTCAGGCAGGTTGCAAAGCTTTCCGTATGACTAATAAAAATATTAGAGCAGTTAAGCTATGCTAGACTCTGGACTACTGCAGGTACAGCATTCCTGTTAATGAACCAGCAAATAAGAAGAGATTCTGGGTATATCTGCAGGAAATCTTTACAAGTGGAAATTTTGTAATGGCCCAGTAGGAGTGCTGCTCCGAGACTGATGCGTTTCTTTCTTATTTTGTAAATAATACAATGGTTTAGATAGATTTAATCTTCATGGTTCAAAGTTTTGTTTAGTATCGATAACAAAGGTTAGTATTATGGTATTATGATACAGTGTTTTCATAACTGCGTACAGCAATTTTGGTGTTTCAGTTCTGGAAATGTTTTTTGGCAAAGCTGGCTTCTGGCAGGACAGCAGGAGCAACATTCACGTGTGTCATGTACCCGTTAGACTTGACATGAACTCATTTAGCTGCTGATAGTGGGAAAGGTAGTGAAAATCTCTTAAATAATAGTTTCAGTTTTATCTGATGTGCCTCAGGTTGTTTATATTTACTTCCTTTTATAGGTAGACCAATAAGCCAATAGTATTAGAATTCTTTCTGTTACTTAAAGATTGACCGTTGTGCAATTCCAAAGTTAAAAGTACTATTATGGTTTGTTCACAAGTGGATGAAACAATGATATGTTTTCAGTCACGCAGAGTAGTTGGTTTTGAAGAGAAGGGCTTCTGCAAAGCATAACCATGTGCATAAATTTATATTAGGTGCTGCTGAGCGGCAGTTCCAGGAACTTGGTGCCTGTATTACTGAAATTTCCAAGACAGATGGACTTCCTGCCTGTAGCAGGGTTTTGGTGTTTCCCGACAAGGAATCATTGTATATTAAGCCTCCTGTTTCAGATGTTACAACACCATTAGGTTAGGCTTTGCAAGCAAAAATGCACGGGTTTTAAGTCTTTATCATGATACTTTAAATATTTATTATGAACTAATGAAGGTATTAGTTACAGCTGTTGCTTTCAAAGTTATTTGTGCTCAATAGAGTATTATTACTGAAAAGCTATGTCAGTTTGCAATAGGATTAACAACAGAAATGATGAACGTTATACTTGATACCTGCTGGATTTGACATTTTCACAGATTTTGCACAGGCTTCCCTTTTTGTTTTATTTTGCAGATATCACTGCCAAATCTGAAGCCAACTCCATTTCTTTCCTTTTTCGTTGCTCAAGTTGTGACTACTTGCTCAGGAATGCTGTCTTATCCTTTTGACAGTGTCAGGAGATGTGTGATAATGCAGGTACAGTCTAGCTTGCTATTTGTTTCTGAAAAATACTTACTAGATTTTTCAAGTTTGATGTGTTAATTGAAGTACTGTATAGACTTACAGCAGGCAAGACTCTATTGAGAAAAAACAGTGGAAACATCTCCAGAAAGACAAGGAGAAAAATGAAATAATAGTGTTGTGGGTGTCTGGTAAATGTATGTTCAGTTCATGGCTTGGTGAGGCCTTTTATTAGTGACAGCATCTGCTTTCTTTTTCTTACTCAGAAGCCAGTAATTGGAATAAGAGAGGTTTGTGGGTGAAAGAATATCCTTTATTAGCCCAGCTAATGCAGTTAGAAAAATAATCTTTGTGGCACACAGCTGTTCTTCAGGTGCCAGGTAGAATGAGCTTCAAAGCTCAGTACAAGATGAGAATTATTGCTCTGCATGTGATGAATATGAGAGTGTATTATTAGCAATTAAAGTTGGAGGCTTGTTGCTAGCTATTTACTACGTACTTCAGTAGCATCTGAAGTACACTTAACAAATTCTTGATGTGAAGGAAAAAAAAAAAGCAAACCACAGAAGTGTTCTTGAAAAATGAGGACCTTGTTCCCTGCATCCTTGAGGAAGTTTTGCCATCTGCTAATAAGAGTTATTAGTTCTGAAAAAGTGTCAGGTCTATCAGTTTTGTCTCAGGAGTATCTTAATTTCTCTCAGTATTCCAGAAAGTCAGAAGAAAATCAGAATAAATGTTGGCATATAACTGCCCTAGATGCTTTCAAAAACTCCTAGGAAATAATTAGAATTTTATGTAATTCCTGCATACTGCTCCTCTAAATAGCAGAAATCCTTTAAGTTTACAGTGGGCAAACTCCATTAGCACGACTGACTTCTTCCTGTCAGAGTAAATATGATTTCACTGTTTTTAGATGCTGCTTTATCTGCTTAATCAGTAGCAGAAAAGAAAGAACTGCCTGTATTTCTGGTAATTACCTTACCACTAGGATAGAGAACAGTATCAAGATTATTAAAAACATAAATTATATCAAATAAAGTGATGGGTTTACTAGCACGAAAGAGGATAAGAATGAGAGGACATATATGTTGTAGACGTATAAATACGTTTCATGTGTTGACCTTGTTTCATTTATGTAGTTTTGAAGTTTCAGGTACAAATCAAGCTGTTGAGTATCATTTTTGTTGTTTGGGTTTTTATAATGATGCTTATCCTCATCCAACAGAAAACCCTGAATTAAATATAACGCGTTTTATTTCCTCAGTTAAAAGTGCATTTGCCAAGTGGGATAACTTTCTGAAATAAAGAGCACGGTACAGTTACTGCTTTCTGTAAAGCTGATTTCCCTCAGCTAAGCAGTAATAACCATGACTAAATATCCTTTCATTTGCATATATTCATGTTGATTCAAACCAAAATATTTTAAATGCTTTTTATGTTACTATGCGTATTTATATTGATTTATATGAATATTCATCACAAATATAATTCCTGCTTTTATTACGTTCAGGAAATCGACAGTGATCTCATACCTCGAGATTTCAGGTAGATTTGACTTGAAATGTAGCTAATTTCAGTTAAATCTTCAACATTAAGTAAAAAAACCTAGAGTTTGTCTTCCAGTTGAATTTCACACGGGGAGGGATTTGGATTAATCTCTCCCACAAAGAGTGCTTTTTTGGTTTTGATTGTTTGGTGGGGTGTTTTTTGCTAGTGAAGACAAAAACCAGTGTCAGTTCCTAATAACAGTCCTGAAGCAACTGTTGTTCCAAAGTAGGAAGTATTTGACAGTTTACCAAGCACATGTACAAAAAAAAAAGCTTTGTCAGAGCTGTGGTGTTACCTAGAGTATCTGAGAGATTGGCTGCTGTCATCCTGCTGAGTTCCACGGTGGGCAAGAGTCTTTCCCAAGTGCTCTGCTGTGCTGAGAAGGGCTGTGTTTACCTTGTTGTTGAGATTTTAAAAACTGAAAGGAGTGGCCATGATTTTCAGTCATACTACACTTGGAAGAAGCTGAATGGAGAATTCGGACTTTGAGCTCTGACCCGTGCAGCAAGTCATACGTGTGGATGTGAACATTCAATTCCTGCCATCCTTGATTTCCTTCACCTCTTAGCACCTGAAGCAAGTTCTAGTGAACATACTGCTGAGGTCTGAAACTAAAACATCCTCCGTTTTGCTTTGTTTTGGGTTGTTGAGCAAATCAATGCTCAGAAACAAGGTGGAGTACACATGAAAACTAGACTGCCCTTCTTCTTAGCCTGCCTATGTTTTTACATGATGGTGCTAGTCAAGACCTTAACATTTTTTAGAGGATTCTATTGTTTATTAATGAACTGAAAGCTGCTTGGTATAAAAGTATTTCAATGGTACTAAAGAAGGAAGAAAAAAACCCAAAAAGGCGCTGTGAAAGTTTTAATAGCATTGAGGCAATTCAGAGCACCCTTAGGACTGGAGTGACCTCATTTAATTCCTAAGCCTTCTCCTTACCCAGTAAAGCTTAAAAGAAGCGTAAGAAGAAGGATCACAGCCATTCTAAATTTAGCTATTGGAACCAGCTAAGAGAGCATTACATCAGATAAATATTTATTAGTTAAAAGATCACTCTTTTTTCAGTAAATGAAACAGTAGGAAAAAGTCCCTTAGTGTTCTTTACTAAAGAAAGACAACTTTTGCCAGGCCTCTCAGTTTCTTTCTCAGCGCAGTGCAGTAGTAATTTGTCCTGTTTATTTGTGTGCAGAGGGGGCGGGACTGGACATCAGTGTAAAGAAACCGTTGAGTGCTTTATGAAAACATACGAGCAAGAGGGAATTAATGCTTTCTTCTGTGGACCGTTCTCTAACATCCTGTGTGGAACAGGTGGAGCCTTAGTATGAGTTCTTTATAATGAAATTACAGACTTCTTTTTATCTTGATGTTTCGGAGATTTCAGGATCTGATTAGTGAGTGAGCACCTATTCTGTTTGAACAATGTTTGTGAAAGAATTCTCATGGCCTGCGTAGCACATTTTTAGTGTATATGTTAAATAAACAATACTTTTAAGAAATTATTTTTATGTTTTTTGTGACTAAGCATGTACTAAATTAACTAACATTTTTTCAGTGAATTGAAGTGCATTGTGTTCATATCATTCAAGAAATGAATCCAGGAAAATACTTGTCTCTGGGTTAAAATTCTCAGTAACTACATGTTATACATCTTGAATTTTAAACTCCGCTATGTACCTGAATATATTTTGGTAACAGCAGTTTCTGTAGCCTGTCAGCAGTGCCTATTGTAAGCAAACGTTATCTATCAGCCTGCTACAGCTTCTCTGTGCACTGCAGTAAAAAGAAAACCTCTTTCTAGCCTGTTGATGTGTTTTCATGGTGTTTTAAAGTCTATTCAGCAAAGGAGATTTTGTTTGTTTGTTTTAAATTGGCATTAAGAAGCAGTCACTTTGCGCTCTGTCCCATCTGTCAAACAACATTGGTAAGGCTGTAGCTGGGCTGGCTGGCAGCATTTTAAGCCAAAATAGAGCCCCAAAATGTAGAGACTCAAGCATCTAGAGATTTAGAACACTTAATACATTATTTCCTGAAGAAATTTAAAAAGGCTGAGGATTCTTCTCAATATTGAGGATAGATCTTACAGTGTGGATAAACAACGAGACTCTTATTTATGAGGTAATAATTGTCACAAGAGAAAGGAAAAAGAAGCCAAACCTTGTGGAATATTGATGACTAGGGACCAAAGAAAGGATTTGAGAGGCCTCTATTTAAATGTTTGGCTTCAAATAATTAAGGCTAGCAGTGTTCCTTTCTCCAAAACCATTAAGTTTCATGCAAAAGCCTTAGCTTCTTGAGTTGGCACAAATAATTCTTTTTAACTGCTTAAAAATCACATGTGATCCACAGGCCAAGAACTGGAAAGACTCGGACAATGCCGATTCCAAGATTGCTACCATGATGGTAGATGATTGGGGGGATGCGCTCAGGCAAGTTGGTGGCTCACCTGACTTGACAGATTTTTGTTTGTACTCTTGGACTGCGCAATCAGTATGACACTGAAGCACACACAAAAAAAAAGTCATTTATGAAATACTTGAAGAGTTTGGTTTATCCTGCTTATGATCTCACCTCCCAACTGCTAACAGCCTTACTCTTAAAGCAATTAGAAGTCTATCGGCACTTTCTTCTCACTATCATAAACGTCTACGCACGTCTGCGTTCCTGAGTGCTGCTGCCTCGGTTGCCAGAAACAACACTGCAGTGGCAGCACGAAGCTGCGTTCAGGCTGATTTATCCTGCTAAGGTGTGACACCTGCCAGCACTTCTGCAGTGAGGGCTCGTCACCCTGCTGCAAGGTTGCACAATTTCTTCGGGGCCTGGTTTAGTCATGTTGTGTAGCTACAAAAAGAGCATTTGCAAGTAATCCCTTGGCCCAAGGTTTCTTTTCAGGCAGGAGTCAGCCTCAGGTACAGCTCTGCAGAAGCAGGATGCTGCAACACCTTGAATCAGAGAGAACTGGTTTTGTAACAGGGATTCAAATGGCAGAGCAGAAACCTGAACTGGGGTTTGTCTCCCTGGCTACTGCAGACAGGACTGGATGTGGTTTGGCTTTCTGATCCTAATATTAGCAAGGAAGATGAGGTGGTTAATTGCTCACTAATAAATAGTAGGTGTTTTACAATTAACTCTTAACAGTGGCTTGTCTTGTATCTGGAGGTTTTAGAGGGAAAGGGCATCTGTCATCTTCCCTAAGAAAATTCTAGTTGTTAAGTAGCGCATTGAAACCACAAATGGGGAGAAAATCACAACTCTTTGACAGACATGCGAATCTAGTTTAGTGATTTAGCACTTATTTTTAGTCTCTCCAGTGGAACAAAGTTGTGCAGCACCGTGTCACATGCTGGGTCAGGAAGACGTCATCTGGCTATGTGAAATGGAGATGTCATTTTTAGAAGCAAATAGATGTCGGGGGAGCTTTTCCAGCCGGGAGGTGTGTTTTGTCGGGTTTCACCCCTCCATGGGTGATATGACACCCCTGGAAAACGGGGTGACTGCAGCAGTGACGCGATGCTCAGGTGTTGAGACGGGTTTTTTCTAGGAATAAAAAGGATAACGCTGAGGGTGCTTCTGGGAACACGTAGGCGTGGATTTGGGACAGATTTGCTACGGGTGGCGCTGGTGGAAGGGAGAAAGATGGGAGCTGAAGGTCTGGAGTCTGTGCCTGTCTCTGGGGCCGGGAGCACTCCCCACATCTCCTTTGGACACCAGCACCTGAGACTTATTTTTGCTGCCCGTTGCAGGCCATTCCCC